CAATAAAAAAAAAACAAAAAAAAAAAAAAAAAGAAACACTGATTATTTATTTACTATCAATATTTTTCCAACATTCCTCATTGGAACCAAAATTTATTTTGTCTTCTAATGTAGTAGTTTTTGTTAACAATAAAATGAACTAACTTAAACCTGAAACATTTTAATGTTCTGAAAAACATTTTAACTGCTTCAATCAAACAAGCAAGTCAAGTCTGTTACCCAACTTTATTCACATATAAAATATAGAGTGATAATATGTTGTATGATATCCTTCAGTTAATCTAATTTAATATTTTAAAATTATTCGGAGAGGATTGGGTTAAATATTGAATAAAGTCAAGTTCTTTGCTAAAACAAATCGATATTTACTTTAAAAAAACAAAACAAAGAAATTTGGAATGACCGTTTTATTATTAAATACATTAGTTGCACACAGCCAACTTATGAAATAAATTGAATCAAACTAGAACTATAATGTTTCATTGCCAAATGTGCATTTAAATGGCCTTTCCTACGCGCCCGGTAGGAACAAAATTGACATTTAAATTGAGGTAATTTTCCACATTCATATTTCTGATGTTGATAAAGTCCTGCTGCATATGAATATTGTCGAAAACATTTTGTACATTTAAACTTCTTTGCAGTTCCTAAGAAAAAGAAATAATATATATATTACATTGTTATATTAACAACAAAACTTACATAATATATTTTAAGAAATAATAAATCAATTTATTGATAATAGAGAATATATTTTCTGTTAAGGTACTTAGTAGCTTTTCTATAAAAAGTTAGGTATTTTTCAGAAATATAAATTAATATTACAAAATGTCACCATACATCAATATTTCAATATGTATATGTTTTGTAGGAATGGAGTATCCATGTTTTCCCGGTCCAGGCGATTAAAGTAACAGAGTTAAAAGCCCTCCCCGCACTGGGACATGAACTCATAATTGTTTCATCATTTTATCTTCAGTTTATCAGGTTGCCGAGCAACGCGTGATATGCACATTCGTTAGCCTGCCCCTCCTAAATGAAAACACTTAATAACTTATGTACATGCAGGGTATCCCATAAGTAGAGGGTAATTTTGATAGGAGTGATAACAGACCTCAAGAGCTACAAAAAAGTTCCTATAAACAATGGGCCAATTTTCAGCAGAAATGTAGGTAATCCCAGATTTATATTTTTTCAAGTGTCATGTTTTTTGTTGAATAGGAAGCGATAACTAAAGAAATGTTTAATTTAAGTAATTACTGATTGCTTCACTATAAACTAGACAAAATTTTCTTCAAATGGAAATCGGATATGTCACTATTATAACTACTTAAAGAGGACTTTTTGGTGTCTAAACTAGGCTGTTTTAAAAAAAAAATTTAAAATATTCAGAATTTTTTTTTAATCATCGTCCACTGTACTAAAGACACCTCACATTTAGAAAAATTTCATCGTTTAACAGGGTTTCAGTCCGTATTAAATAATTTGAGGTTTATTAGGAAAAACTTAAGATTCATCACAGGTTGTGTTTAAAAATGATGTAATTTTTTCCTGTCAAGTAAAAGTACCCCAGTTTTCAGCAAACATGAAAAAAAAAGAAAAAAAGGAAACCTGTACCATTACAACCCATGAAGGGTCTTGGGTTCAGTACTATTTAGAGAAAGCACTGTTTTTTGGTCTACTGTTGTGCAAGGAGATGATTTGACCGAGATTATGCTCAACCGCCAAGTTTTTCTCCTTAATCAATTATTTTAATTAAGGGCACCCACTTTATAGAGTCTGCCCCAGGAGGGTCTACCTACCCATTCAGCAAAACTGACAGCAATTAATTGTTACAAAGCTTTCATTTTTTGTTTTTCAATGATGAGGGATATATTACAATAAACATAATTGCGTTAATACACTTTGCATGGTTATGAAACTATGTTTTTCACCCAGATATGTATTATAGAAATTGTTTCTTATTCAAAGGTCACAAAAAAAAAGTTTCTAGTTCTAAAATTGTCATTTAGAATAAAGAAACCTGCTGATTGCTTCAATTTTTTCATTAAATGTTAATATTAGAATCAGGAACATTTAGTTTGTCACTTATTAATATGGATCAATTCTTATGACAGAAATCTGAAAAAAAAAACATTGTTTTATAACCACTTCACATGTAAAATATTTGAAAAACATTATATTTAACATTTTTAGTGCATTTAGGCAATTGTGTTTATTATAATACATAACAGATCATGAAAAACAAGAAATAGAAGCTTTCCAACACTTAATTATAGTCATTTTTGCTGAAAACAGGTATTTTTACTTGACACGATAAAAATCACATATGATTTTTTTTAAAAACAGAACTTAGCTTAGTTTAGCTGCTCAAAAGTCCTCTTTTAATAATTTTAACAGTGACATATCCGATTTCCATTTGAAGAAAATTTTGTCTAGTTTATAGTGGAGCAATCAGTAATTACTTAAATTAAACATTTCTTTAGTTATCGCTTCCTATTCAACAAAAAACATGACACGTGAAAAAATATAAATCTGGGATTACCTACATTTTTGCTGAAAATTGGCCCATTTTTTATATGCACTTTTTTGAAGCTTTTGAAATCTGCTGTCACTTTAACAATTTAACAATTTCTTCCAATTTACGGGACACCCTATATATACAATAACATTTTTTCAGTGAGATAGGAATTTTGTTACCTATATCACAACATTTTGATTGCAAACCAGCATTTCATCAAAGAAAGAGAACTTGTTGTTTTTTTCTTTAAATCCAAAAAAAATAAAGAATACAAAATTAAAATCCTACTGGCTGGCAGACCATCTGCCAATTTTAAACTCCACATATGGCCCATATATTCATGCATGACAGGCACATCTTAAGTAAGGTATTCCTGCCCTACATTAGGATTGGCCAAAATGGTAGATAATTTAATACAAACAAAACTTGTCTTTGTTACATAAAAAAGACCAGTTATTTTGCTACAGTACCTAGCATGATCCTCAACTAAAATGTTATTCAAAATCCAGTTTTTATGTTATCTATCAATTACAATTATCCAGAAACATAATTAAAAAAAAAGTGGGAATAACAGTTTTACCATACAATTGTTCTTCTTAATCCATTTGGAGTGCAACAAGGTATTATATTCCATAAAAACCACAAATAATTGCAATATTTATTGGGGCCTTAACAAAAAAAAAATTAAGCATAAGTATAATCTTGTTTCTATGGTTATTTAGGAACAAATATACAACAAAAGTAATTTCTTTATAGTCCTTGCAATTATTATACAGTAAAATTAGAGATTCACCTGAACATGAAAAAAATCTGAAACTTGTCAGCCATTATTCATTACCCTGCCCATAATCACTGGTTAACAGTCCTGAAGTTTCTTGCATCAGATTTTGATATGGGAGAGAAGAAGAAGGATAGAAAACAGAATTTTCAATTATATTTTTGTGATTTTTTCAAAACCTGTAACATAAACCAGAATCAACGATAATTTCAATGGATTCGGAACATTTTTTGCTACATTCTATAATGTGGAAACTGTATAAATTTCATCTTTTTAATACCTCTGTAACCATTGATATTCGAAAAAATATATATCACTGATTTATTGCAGTCATTAAGTACATTTTTGATAAAATTTTAAGATTTTATGAATTTTGACCTTATTTAAAAAAAATACAGGGAGTGCCCTAAAATGGAACAAACCCTTTTATATGAGCCTTTTAGCTGACAGAATGAATAACTCCAATTAAAACATTTTTAATTATTAATTTTAGTGGTATTTCTAGTGAGAAAATGTATACCTTTTTTCACAGTTCTATGTTTCAACACTGCAATCATCTACTCCGGAATCAACTTACTTACTGTCTGTACAGATATAATAAATTTTTCTAGTAGAAATCATTACAGAAATAGGCAAACGCAAATCGGTTCAGCCCCTTTTACTCCTATATTATTCATCCGATTTTCTTCATTCTTTTTTTGTTTAATAGATATTAACGAGCTTTAGTGTTATCAAGAAATAAAAATATTAAATAGTACGTAAATAAAAAGATAAATGGTAGTTTGTTCAAAACGGATGATCTCCGAAAGTTCTTCACCAATTTATTTTCAATTTTGACACAACGTCGCAATAATATTTATAAGTTTTTTTGTATACATTTCATTATCATCAGGCCTTTCCTTTCGAAATAGCGGCCGAAAAACGTGATTCGCTTTAGACTGTAGTGCTAATACGGCTTCAACGATTTCAATGAAACTTGGCTAAAGTCTTCCCCTTGAAACCTTTATAATTTATGTATATAACATACTTTCCCGAAAACAAGCTGCATAAATTTTTATGATGAATCCAGTATTTTATTTGCGAATAACTCAACAAGTATACATTTTTTTATCGATAATACCAATACTTATTTGAAAGCTTTCTTTATTTCCTACAAAATGAAAAAAAAAATAATCAATATCGGACTATTTGTTGCAGAGATATATCATTTTAAACATTTAGTTCTTTTTCTTTTGCAAATTCGATTTTCTTTACTTTGTTTTTTGATAAATTGGAAACTTTTAATTTACTGATGTAAAATTGGGTCTATTATTTGAAGAGATGATATCATGTAATGTTAGTGGAATGATACCTCATAAATTAAATTTAAAAATATATTTTATAGTTATACTCATTGTTAACTTAAATACTGCACAAGCATTAGTTAATGGAACAGGAATGAGACTGAAGTATTAACGGGGGCTACTTTAAACTAAAGAATTTTATTTCCAAGAATTAATTAAGATTTTCTGACACTACACTCACATTCGACTTTCAAAAGAACAACTTTCCTATTTATAGCTGCATTTGCTGTGGTCATAATCAAATCGCAGGATAAAAGTTTTGGAAAACTGTGTGTATTATTGTGACGTCCAATAATTTTGCATGGACATTATATGTGGCAGCAATTAGAGCACGTTCATTTAAAATATTAAAATTTATATTTTCAATGGTAATGGGCAAGGCTATGCAGCAAACAATAACAGAACATTCAGAAAGAACATTATTTACATAGAAGTTCTGAATAAAAATGGATTTAAATTGCTAATTTAAATTTATTTTTTACTTGCTTAATCAAAACATTAATTTATTGTAAAAATAACACACATAAATTAAAAATTTTTGAATGAGTCTATTTTGTATTATTTATAAATAATTTTAAATGACTTAAGCTCTATTTTTAATTGAAATTGAAATTTTAATTTTGTTTGTATTAATAAATGAGGATTTTTGAATTGTTATTTACTCTTTGTTTATTTAATTTATTTTTTATTTAATTATATCTTTTCCTCAAATTTTTAATGGCTATGGTCGAATTTCGACCACTGGGCAAACACTAGTATTATTAAAATGATATTATTCAAAAATGTTGAAATTGGAGTTAATCATTCTGTCAACTGAAAGGTTGATATATCAAATATAGTTCAATTCAGATTGATATACAAGCGTACAATATTGTAAAAAAGAAAATTCATCTAAGTTCTTAGTGATTTAAGGTTATGGAATGTCACTTAATGACTTGTATAAATATTTTAAAGTACTTTAATTTTGTAAATGGTAATATTTGGGATAAACCTCATAGTTTTTGAACTATGCACAGAAGTTTTAAAAAAATGAGTTTTCTGTCCTTCTCTCCCTCCTCCCCATCTAAACCTGATATGGCAATATTAGGACTTTTTACCATTTATGAGGAGGAAGGTAATGGACAAGTTTCAAAAAGTTTCAGCTTTTTTTTTGGAGGAGGTTCAGGTTACAAGTTTTTCCCCTCTAGTTTTGCTGAACTATTACAGAAGTATATATAAAAAGAAAGTAATAAAAAAATATATATATATTTAATGAAAAAAATTGATGATTATTGATAATATTAATTATATTTATAATGTTTATTAATGATATGACACTTAAGAGAGGTTTTCCTTTTAGCTTTATAATCACACTTAGGACATGAAAACTGCGGTTCTTTGCCACATTCATACTTCTGATGTTGCAAAACACTTTGATGGTGAGAGTATCGCCTACCACAGTCTGGACAAGCAAATTGTTTAAGACAGTGAGCTGTAAAATTAACAAACACTCTATTAGTAACAATGAGCTAGCATTAAATATTAGTTTTTATTGTTTAATAACAATGACATGAAATACATATTTTTATAATTTATTCATATGACTAGTTATGTATATAATATAGATAAAATATGGTAATAATTAAGGTTCTGATATCAACTGATTAAGTCTATCTGCAATCTATTTTGAAATTTTTAAGATATAAATAAAACTTAATCATCTTTGCCATTTTTGGAATTTATTACTCCAAAAAAAAGAAGAAAAAAAACACTTCAAAGAGATTAAAACTAAGAATGTATTTCATAAAACCTAATTATTACAGCATTTAAAATATTACATCAATAAAAACATACTTATTGAATAACTTAAAGAAAACAATTTTTTTAAAAAATACAATCTGTTAGAAGAATAATTACGTTCAGGACCATAAATTAGGTCTTCAGTGTTTTTTAGAATAATAACAGTTTAATAACTTCTAAAATAAACTGAAAAATAATAAAATACATATAAAAAAAAGCAATTAAGAAAAAAAACTAAAATATAATAAACATTCAAGATAACGCCGTAACATATTAAATTACAAATTAATTATAAAGTAAAATATTTTGAAAATAGAAAAGCTTAACTATTGAAGGTATTATTCATTGCAATCTGAAAATCAACACTAAGAAAAATCAAAAATGTTGACCGATGATAATAAGACTAAGGGAATCTATAGGTTCTGTACTGATGTCATTAAACAAAATGTCTTAACTTCTTTCTGTTCCACTTTTTTCTACTAACTTATTTTAATCTAACAAACTCACTCCCCTTCATAATAAAAAAACAAAACAATGACTTTGTCATTATTCTTCGATCAATTTTATTTACAATCAGAGGATTATTTAAAATCTTTTTAACCGGTTACTTTGTCATTTGTTACATTATTAGTGATAGGGAACAAATAATTAAAGCAACTACCTTTAGATAGGCTTCATTAGACTCAGTTGGTAAAAGTCATAAAATCTTACATTGAGCAGCTGTTTCCATTCTCTATTGAGCACAATTTTCTTCAAACAAATTCATTTATTTTAAATAACTCTATTTTTAACAACATTCAGATGTTTTTCTCCATTTAAAGTAAGTTGCCAAGTTTCACACCCATTAAGAACAGCAGAACAAGTAATAGTTTTTAAATATCTTCTTTTGGCTATAATTAATGGTATTTATTAAATAAATAAATAAAAAAGTTTAAATATTAACAAATATAATATACACTAGCACAGAGGATCTTTATAAAAATCTAAAATTCTACTTACAATTATTTACTATTAAATTTATTAATTAAATAGAGTTATAAAACAATTTATTCTTCAGCACATATAATATTTTACTTTTATTATAAAACACTAACATTAAAATACTTCATACGTCAGTTGTTGGCAGAATCTCATCTTAGATTGTAGATTCATCTGAATCTACAATATCATACAAGCTAAATAATGATGACAAATATTTATTTCAGTAAATTGTGATCTATTAGGAATTTTTACTAGAAATGCTTATACAAATTTTGTTGAAAAACACAAATCAACTATTTTCAGGGGAGTACCTTAAAATGCTTACGAGCTAAATGTGCTTTCAAATTACATTTCTGCTTGGCTTTGTAGTCACAATGGGGGCACATGAACTGTGGATCTTTCCCACATTCATATCTAAGGTGTTGGGCGACACTTTGCAGATGTGTATACTTTCGACCACATGTTGGACAAGGATACTTTTTGGTCAAGCGAACTGAAAAGGAGATTGAAATGGTGGTATTTTAGGCACTAATATAAAAATAAAATAAATATTTTATAGCTAAATAGTTGAACAGCTTATAACAATATATTTATGTACTTACTATACTTACTTCAGTCCATGTACACTTAAATTATAAATGCTAAAATGTGAAAATTATAGAGAAACACATAGTTTATAATGAACATAATTCTTTTGGGTAGTGATGATAAAAATAAGTTGGACTACATTCATATAGTAAGATGCTTTATTTGACATAACTGAACAATAGGTTTCAATAGACTTACTAAATAAATATAGTAGTTCTGACAATACTGCAGGAAAATTATTTTAAAATAACAATATTTTGTTAATTTGCACAACTCACCAACTTTCTTTCAATTCTTTATCCTTCAAAGTCAAATGATTTTTAAATGATATATAAACTAATTTTTAATATCTTTAGAAACCTGAATGACCTCCACGCTGAGAGGCACAAAGGAGGAAGGAAAAGAAGAAGAAGAAAAAACCTGGATAAGTGATATAAAAATAAGGCTTCTATATGATTAAAAATAAGATTATCAATAACATGTTTATTAGATTGCCAATAGTTCGAGGAAACAAAAAAAAACAAAAAAAAAAAAAAAAAAGGCAAATTATTAATCAAAGAAAACCATTATCATTTACACAAATAAAATTTACACTATATTTAATCTTTTCTTACTATATATTTTCACAGGAACTCTAATAGAGGTACTGCAGTCTTTATTTCAGGGCTGGACAGGGTCAAGAAACATTATTCCGCTAAGTTTGTATTAGCATTATTATTCTATAAATTAAATTTAATGACTTAAGATAATGATGTGCTTGAAATAATATCAGTAGATTTGGGTGTAGTCAGAAGCCCTATACCTACCGTACTGGATGCTAAGAGAACCAACATTTTCCGCTGTGATATTTTATAAAAATATCTTTCTTAATGTATAGGATTTATGATACTGTCTGTGAACAATCCTAAATGTTTATGAGCAATGTGCTTATTCAAGTTCTGTTTTAATTTAACCATATGATCACAGTAGGGGCATTTGAACTGAGGAGATTTGCCACAAATATACTTCTGGTGTTCTCTTAGCCCTCCCAGATAGGAATAGTTACGTCCACATCCTTCACAACAATACTTTTTCTTCTTAGCAACTGCAAAATAATTTACATGTGATATTTAAAGAATCTGTATCCATAACACACACACACACTTAAAAGTATATTATATTAAATTATGTAGTCAACTTTTTTTTATAACATGTTTAGACTGTACCTGTACATACCAGTCCAGCATGTATGCCAACAGCAGTATAACCACTCACTAACATAGAAATCAGGAAGAAAAATTCACTACATTATATTATAGATAAAATTACTGACACTTTATCAATTTTGAGTTGTGGTTATTGTAATTGTTCAAACTTGTAATGACCCTTTCTAATTGTTAAAAATGTTGGACAGGGTTTAATGCAATGGTATGATCAATATTAATTGTTTGTTGGAGATCATTCAAAGTTAATTAAAATTAAAAAAACAATAAATTAAAAAGTTCATTAAAATAATTTGTCATGAGTTGCCAATATAGGTAGGTTGAGTGAAGTACCTTCATTTAATTTTAAGAGCTGTTATGAAAATTTCAATAATCTATGTGGATGGAGAAATAGGAACCACAGAAGCATGCAATCAATAAGAGAGGAAGATATGGATGAAGTCATGTCACCTGATTCTGACGACATCGAAAATATTTTGGAAAAGCTTAGGAATAACAAGTCAGCAGGAGGGAGTCTGTGTTGTGAGTTGATAGGGATCCGACGTGTTGTGCTCAGTGCTTGCTACAAAGCTAAGTTTATTCTGTTTGGAATATTTAGTGAAAGCCTAACGTTTTTCCTTATTTTTCATGAGACAGTTTTATGCATTGTAAGCTATTGTGTTTAAAAAGAAAGGAAAATAAAGGGATATTCAAAAAGCTACAGAATAAGTGAGTGATTAATAGATACTTTGTGTCTAGCACATGGTAACAGCGCTTATTTGTTCTACATTATAAATTACAATTGAGTTTAGTTTTGCATATTTGCTTGCCCTGTTTACCAGCTTATTCAAGAGTTAGTTTTTTAATCTTCGGAGACAGTTTAATGAAATAAAATTTCTGATTAAAACAAGAAAAAAAAAATTGACTAATAATGACGGATAAAAATCTGAAAAATTATTTTTCACCAACGGTACGTAAAAGTAAGAAAAGTATGTGTCAGGAGACTAATAATGAAGAAGAAGGAAGAAAAAGAAAATACTCTGAGGACCCTGATGAACCATCAATTAGTAACCTAACCTTAAACGAGTTAATGGACTCTTTAGGTAAGTTGATTGATGAGAAATTACAGAGAGTGGACCAAGAGTTGGAAATATTGGCTACAAAAAATGATATTGCAATATTCGCGGATAGGATTGAGCAATTATCAACAGAAAATGCTATACTGCGAGAAGAATTGAAATTACAACGAGAAGCAAATAAATTACTATCGAGACAGGTGGAGTTTATTCAAAGGGAAATAAATAAAAATAACATCATTGTTAAAGGTATGGATATTGGCCCTACTAAGGATTGTACACAAAGCATTAAACGGCTCTGCACTAATACCTTAGGTATGCCTGAAAATATTATTATAAATAGAGCTCAATTTATTGGTAAGCGTAATGCAAATAAGAAAATTATTTGTGCAGAATTTTCAAACGAATCCGAAATAAGAAAAATATTAAAGGCATCCAAAATATTAAAAGGTGCTGGAATTTCTATTGAAAGGTACCTTACTTTCTCACAAAGGCAAGTCAAAAGAAAAATGCTGTATTTAAGAAAATGCCTCAAGGAAAAAAACTCAAAAATATCGATATCGGTTCAAAATAATTCCTTGTGGATGAGTAACCATAAGTTTGTTTGGATAGAAGAAAAAAGCCTCATGTTTGGTAATGAAAACGGTTTAAGAATAAGAAAATTAATGAAATCACGTTCAGAAAGTTAAATGAAATCACGAGCATCGACTTATCAGAAGCGATGAAGAAATTGTTGGCAGAAACAAATTCAGAAGAAGGAAGAGATATTGCTACAGGTGCTGTTTCAGAAAATATTCGGAACCAAAATAAATGAAATAGAGCCGTCTGTCAGGTCAAAACAAGTGGGATTAATGATTTAAATCCTATTAAGTTGAAATTACTTTCATTCAATATTGGTGGATTGGTTAATAAATTTATTTTTGATTATTTTTTTCAATTTATCAATCAAACAATATGATATTATAGCTCTCTATGAGACATTTTTAGTTAAGTCCGAAACTTTAAAATTCGAAAAATATTTTAGTGATTTTAATTTAATGTGGATCAGAGCAAAAAAACTAATAAGAAAAGCAGGGCAAGTGGTGGCCTTTTATTAGGTATTAAAAATAATTTAATTGTAAGCAATGTGGCATGCAAATTCGTGAGATTGAGTGAATGAGATTTAATTGAAGTAAATAATGTTAATGTAAAGTTTTAGATTGTGCCAGTTTATTTAAATTTTGGTGCTTGGGATGAAGACTTTTCAAGATTATTGAATTTTCTTTCATTATTTAACGAAAAATACGTTCTTATAGGAGACATGAATGTGAAGTTGGCGGAGAGGCAGATTATCCCGGAAAATATATCACAGGAAAAATGTTTAATCAACTGTAACAGGAAATCTAAAGACACAACTTTAAATAGTAGAGGTCTATCGTTCTTGGAAATGTGTGATGATCTAGATTTAGTAATATTAAATGGCCGTGCGGTGGGTGATCCCGATGGTGATTTCACTTACATTTCGGGGTGGGGTAGTTCTGTCATTGATATTTGGTGCATGCATCTGCACCTATTCTGAAATCCCACAGAGCTTCACTAATTCAGTCATTTACCCGTTATTCAAAAAAGGAGATATCCATAACGTTGAAAATTTTAGTGGCATATCTTTTATTAATGTAATTACAAAATTATTGACTGGAATTTTATTGGGACGTTTATGGAACTGGGTGAACACAAATGACATATTAAATGATTTCCAAGCGGGTTTTCGTCGGGGGTCACAGTTAACTCAACCATAGACCACAGTTTCAGCTTGTTTAGCATTGTCAAACTGACTGGCAAAAGAACGTCGTAAAGTGTATGCATTTTTCATTGATTTTAAAGCGGTGTTTGATTGTATAGATAGGGAGGCTCTGTTTTTTAAGTTGGCTAATCTTGGACTGTCTCATAAATTTTTGAATATCATAAGAAGCTTACATACAAATACTAAAGCTACCGTATATCATAAAGAAGGATTAACTGACTTTTTCGAAACATCAGTAGGGTTAAGACAGAGTTGTCTGCTTAGTCCTTTGCTATTTGCGTTGTTCATAAACGATTTACACGAAAATTTGGAAGAGGGTCTAGAAATTGCAGGAGTAAATATTAGATGTTTATTGTATGCAGACGATGTAGTACTATTAGCCCCTTCTCCAGTTAAATTACAGCGTATGATAAACCACTTGGAGAATTACTGCCGAATGTGGAACTTGCATATAAATTTGGCCAAGTCAAAAATAATAGTTTTTCGCAATGGAGGTAGACTATCCAAATATGAGAGGTGGAACTTCGGAGGAAGCCCTGTTGAAGTAGTAAACGAGTATAAATATTTGGGTGTTATCATGACCCCAAGGTTGGTCATGGGACGACACTTTGCTGAAAGAGTAAGTCATGCAAAATTTGGCCTAAATTCTACTTGGCATAATTTTATAGCTAACAAAAATGTCCCCTACTCAAGTAAACTAGTGGTTTATAATTCGGTCTCTGGCGGTGATTAGTTATGCTGGACAGGTTCGGGGCTTCGAGCCCTATGAAGTTCTGGAAAAGTTTAAAAGATACTTTGTAAAAAAAATACTGCGTCTTCCAAGGTATGCACCTAATTATATTTTGGCACACGAAACGGGTCTCGCCTCGATATACTCCTACACACTTAAAATTCATTTCGACTATATTTTGAAAGTGCTGGAGATGCCGGGTTTTCGTTTGCCACATATCCCAGTGAAAGAGGTGATAACTAAGAGAGTTTATTGGTATGAAAAGTGGTTAGAATTCGAGAATAGTTGCAAAATTAATCTTGATACTGCAAATATCGCTGATCTGCGCGGAAAATTGACTGTTTGTTCGGGCCTGAGGCAAGGTGACTCATTAGCCACACTCCTCTTTAATATTGCCCTAGAGACCATCAAGAGAAGGGCAGGATTAAATAATGGAGGAACAATACTCCACAGAATGACCCAACTGCTCACGTATGCTGACAATGTGGTCATTGCAGAGCCATCAATTCAAGCAGTGAAGAGTACATTCAGTAGGTTGGATAATGAGGCAGGGAAAATGGGGCTATACACCAATGAAAGTAAAACCAAGGTCCTTGTTTTAAGGAAGAAAAACCTTGTCCATCCACCACAGCACTATGTCTTTGAAAACCATACTTTTCAAGTTGTATCAAGCTTCACCTACCTCAGGTCCATAATTAACAATAGCAATAACGAATAGGTGGAGATAGGAGCTAGAATAATGGCTGCCACCAGAGCGTACTTTTCTCTAGCAAGCCTTCTGAAAAGTGTATTGTTAAGTCATACAACAAAGTTTAGGATATACAAAACGATTATTCGGCCAGTTCCTCATATGGACTCTAACAAAGGCATCTGCTGAACGAATAGATCGGTTTGAAAGGAAAATACTAAGACGGATAATAGGACCTAAACTGGAGAAAGGAGTTCCCCGCTTGAGAACAAACAAGGAGGTATACTCAATGTACGGTGATCTATCTATCTATTCGTTTGAGTGTAGCGAAGGAAATGGTTAGAACATGTCCTGAGAATGGATGAAGAGAGGATAGCGAGAAGGCTTTATCATGGGAAGCCGGAGAGAGTTAGGTCTAAGGAAAGACCGAAGGCAAGATGGATAGATAATGTAAAAGAAGAAATGAGAAAAAACGGCATATCTATAAGGTGCGCAGCCAACAGGGATGACTGGGCAAAAGAAATTGAGCAGGCCAAGGACTGCTACATGCGTCTGTTGTGCCAATAATGAATGAATGAATGAATGTGGAGTACAACCATTCAGCAGATTAATAAGTAGTAATATAGTAAACCATTAGAGTAAAAGAATCATGAATCAATTAGATGTAAACAATAAGTTAGAAAATTATTGCATCATGGTTCTGCAGAATATGGCTTGTTAAAAGTTAGATATAAATATTACCAATAATGTTCATGAAAAAATACAGTGAAAATCTTATTTATGTGAAATAATTTTTTTGAGACTTAATTAATTAATAAATTGAACGAAATATTTTAACTTTTATTTCATCAAATTAAATTTGGTTATATTATTTTTCCAACATGCTCACTCAACATATTGGGGCTAAATTTCAAATAGCTGGTTCAAATTTAATTTATCCCTATGTGGCTGGTCATTGCAAATGTTAAAAA